GTCGCGAAGCGTCCCGAACAGAACCTTCTTGAACTCGGTAGAAAGCAATTTGGTGGAAACTGGAAGGCTTGAGTTCGGTACACGTAACCTGGTTCGGTGCTATAACTCTAATGACATATAGGAATGCACCTAACCTAGGGAATCAAGCACATCTATGCATGATATAATAAACTCAAGGTATGTATAGCATAATAAGCAAGCATAAGCCGTCCTACTCTCACACTAGGGGACAGCACACCCTTCAAACAGACAAGGGGCAACTGCGTCAATGGCAGGGAGGAGGTTACTCTCGATCTTCCCGAGTGTGGTCTTGAGAAGATCAATCGTAAGCTCACTGGGGTGCTGCTGGTGAAGTGCGTCATGCGCAATGGAGAGGCGGTCAGGGAGGCGAGTGACTACCCAGTGGACGGTGAGCCGGATAGGGGGAGGGGCAACAAGAAGCTAAGCCTCAGTGCAAGCTGCTCCGTAGCTAGCGACAAGGGAGCGCAATCGCAAACGAGCCAAGGTCGGGAAACACGAATGGCATGAGGACGCGACTGAGGGAGGGAGAGGAAGGGGTGGAATAGCGAGCACAAATAGCATCATACACCTCCTTCGCAGTCTCTACCAGGTCGAAGTGAGCGGCCTCAGTCGGTAGAAGGACCTCAATTAGCGCGAGTGCAGCCACAATGTCAAGGGAGTCCAAAACGCCCCGCACCAAGACGAGACGAGCGTAGTCCGCCTGCGCCTCCGAAGTCGGGGGGGGGCACGGCAGGGAGGGGCTCGAGACGCGATGATGCCAGGAGGGCGCCGGACGCGTGGGCGTATAGAGTGGCGCCGTCCTGGTGCTGAGTGGTGAGATAGCGCTGAGTCTGGCGGAGCCAGGTGCCGAACTCTATCTGGCCCCCCTTTGCATTGAAACGAAGGCAGCGGGAGGAGTCCATATTGGACGCTAGGCTAGGAGTAGCTGGAGCATGGAGCAAACGGAGCTAGGAGCAAGGAGCGCTAGGTGGGACTAGGCGAGGTACTACTGGAGCACGAAGGAAAACTGAGCAAGGAACGCCAGTCTAGTAACGAGCGGAGCTGGGAGCGAACAAAGATGGGAGCTAGCTGAGCTAGGAGCACTTTGCTGGAGGAGGCAAGGCTGACGAGCCGATCGTGGAGCCAGAGAGTCGTTCGAAGGGCTGGCGGAGCGAGGAGAGACCTAGCTAACAACGAATATCGAGACTAGCCTAAACAGCTAAGTAGAGCAGCCTCCAGCCTAAACATTGTGAGTATGAATGACGCGAGTGTCGAACCAATGGAGGTCGGGTGGTCCTGGGTGGTGTGTGCGCGTGATGAGGGGCTGTGAGCAGTTGGAAGGGGCTGTAAGCGGTTGGAAGGGGTTGTGAACGACTGGAAGGGGCTGTGAGCAGTTGAAAGGGGCTGTGGGCGGGTGGGAGGGGCTAGCTGGTGCTAACTGCTGCTGGCAGCTAGCTACTGATGGCGGCTAGCTGCTGGTGGCTAGCTGCTGCTGGCGGCGAGTTGCTGGCGGCTAGCTGCTGCCTAGCCGTGCTGCTGCAGCAATGCACGCGCTGCTGCAGCCCAGCCCCCGTAATTTCCAGCCCAGCCCAGCCCCCTTCCCGTCAAGTCCTCCCCCCCCTTCCCCCTTCCCCCCGCGATCCCTCACATCTACAAATACAGTCTCTTTCGCCACACGCCTTGCCTCGCCATGCCACACGACTGACAGCACGCTCGCCGCGTCAACGGCGTATGCAGAAACTCATTAAACAAAAGAGCCAGATTTAGCTACAACATTAAGAAAATCGTTCAGACATTGCAAAATTAATCATCTGGAAAATTAGACAGCTCTCCAACATTCGTCTGAAATATCAGACCAAAAAAAATCTGCCCGTCTGAACGTCAGACGAAATTAAAATTTGTTTTTAGATTTCAGATAGGCCCAAATCCTAGCAACAACCCTGCCTTGAACGCAACGAAAACGAGGCCCGCGGGGGCGGTCCTACCCACGACAAAACGGAGCCTAAGGGACGGGCGCCTCGGGACCGGCTAAGGGAGGGAGCGGAAGCGTGGGAGGGGGAAAAATTACCTACTCTAATACCATCTTTAAGTAGGCTGGGAATGTTAGAAACTATAAGACAGGAATGAATTGACTAGTCAAGAAAGCAAGTACAAGTACCAAACCCTAGTAGTGTTGTACTCTATATGTGCTACCCCAATATAGCCTACAAACATAAAAATTAGTTTTGATACACCCCCATAGGCAAAGTGGGGGAGAACCAGTGGCCACAAGACCAATCAAGAGACAAAAAGGAAAGTCAGGGTGGATCACGAAGTCACTACACACTGTGAGCACAAGCAAATGGCCACAAGGTTGGTCCACATACAGAGTTATATAAAAGACAGCAAACAGTACAGTGATCGCTACCTAGCAAGAGTACGCGTGTAGGAATAAATATATGTCACAGTACACGCAAGGTCAAGAAGTGAGCAAGTGAGCCAAAAACGGTGCAAGGCACAACACAGTATAGAAGCGCTGATGATTACAAGGCTGAAGTGCCTTGGTGAATATATCAGCAATGTTGACCCTAGTGGCCACGTAAGCAAGACAAAGCTGACCGCGCTGTTGCAACTCTCGCGCAAGGAAATAACGCAAAGTGATATGCTTCGTTCTGTGCTCCAGTTTGTGCTCCTGACACAAGGCAATTGCTGCATTGTTGTCTACGTACAAAACTAGAGGAGAACGAGGCCGCTCTCCTAAGTCGGTCAGCAGGTAGGTGAGCTAGCGTAACTCCGGTGCAGCCGCGGCTGTCACGTAGATCTTAGCCTCACAACTGGAGCTGAGAACAGAGGATGGGTGGGTAGACCGACGAGAAACGGAACCAGAGCAAAGTCTGAAGGTGTAACCCTTAGTATGTCCTGCCCTTTGTGAAGCGCCTGGCGAAGACCGTAGATTGGCCGCCGGAGGCTTCACTGGGTACCTGCGGGAAACAACCCAGTGAAGTCAGGTGGATGGCGCAGCCCGATCTCCTCATACCGGCTGCCCTGTAGGAAAGCTGTGCTGAAGTCAAGAGAGTGAAGCTCGTACTAAGGTGTTGGTACGAGAAGTTGGAGGAGGTGCTGCTGGGTGGAGGCTTCAAGACGTCCCAGTCGGATCACGGCTTGTTTCTACTTGGAGATGGGGAGCAGCTGCTCTTGCTGCTGGTGTATGTCGACGACATATTGCTGTTCTCACCTTCCATGGAGCAGATTGAGAGGGCAGCGAAGCAGTTGATGGACAAATTCAAGTGCAAGATGCTGCAGGATGTCCACTACTACTTGGGGCTGCAGATTGAGAAGGATGTTGAGAGGAGGTGGCTGAAGGTGCATCAGTCACACTACATCTCTGGTATCATGGAGCGGTATGGTGTGACTAGGGGTCGCACTGTGATGACACCGTTCCCTGCGGGCTTCAAACTGAAGAAGGCAGCTGAGGAGGATGAGCAGCAGAACGAGTACCAGTCACTCCTTGGGAGTGTGATGTATGCAGCTGTGCATACGCGACCTGATGCTTCATTCAGAGTGGGGCAGCTGTCCAGAGTTGTGCAGCGGCCCACTAAGGAGCAGTTGGAGGTGGCAAAGCACTTGGTGCGCTACCTCGGATCAATGGCATCTGCTGGTGTTCAGTTTTCAGCTGGAGGCCAGCTGAAACAGGCTAGAGCAGATGGAGTTATGCCTAGAACCTTGAAGCTGTTGTGCTTCACCGACGCTACATGGGCCTTAGATGAGGAGGATCAGTCATCGGTTGGCAGCTTTGTGTGCATGGTCAGAGGCGGACCAGTGAACTGGAGGTCCAAGAAGCAGAGTGAGATTGCTCAGTCTTCCGGAGAGGCAGAGTACATGGGAGCTGAACAGCAGGGACCTACACCAATTTTTTCCGACAGCGAGGCTGCTATTGGCATGGCCAATAATCCTATCCTGAATGGGCTGAACAAGCACATGAAGATTAAGTGGCACTGGGTGAGGCAGATGGTGAAGGAGGGGATTGTTGAGCTTCACTATGTGAAGGCTAGCAAGCAGGCTGCAGATTTTCTCTCCAAGAGACTTCTCGAGAGCGCACATTGGAAGTGTGCTAAGATGTGTGGCATGGCATTGCACTAGTGTGGGCAGTAGTGTCATGAGTGCATATGTGATTGTGTGCATGTGAGTTTGCATGTGTGTGAGTGTGTGTGCATGCAGTCCGTTAGTCTGAGGGGGAGTTTGTTGGATGCACGTGACAAAATTAGAAGAAAGAAAGAGAGAAAGAGGATTGAACTAGCAGAAATGGGGATACAAATAGCAAACCCTAGAAGGGTTGTACTCGCTATAGAGCACCCCACTACAGGCTAGAACATAAGAATAACATTCTGACACACCCCCATAGCCAAAGTGGGGTGTAATCAGCAGAGCAGGCAAAGCAGTACAAGCTCAGGGTGGATCACAATGTCACCACACATTCTGAGCACAAGTTCAAGAAGAAATAGTTTAGAGTGCACAATTATCAGCAAAGCTAGTGGTGGTCACAACGGGCAAGTGAGGAGGAGGGAGAGTGAGAGGAGAGGAGATAGAAGGTGGCGGCTGAAGCTGCAGACATACGGGCAACAGGAGTGGCGAGCACAGTGGCTACCGGACTAAGCGCCCGGAATACAGGAGTAACAGGCCCCGCGGCTCAAGTAGCGGCAGACAGGCAACGGACCCACAGGCGACTGGCTCAGCGACAAGCTCACTGGGCTACCGGGACAGCGCCCCGGACTACAGGTGCTGCTGACGACAAACTGGCAACCTCCGCTCATCCTCCCGCACACAGTCCCACCCCCCTGATACACACCCACTGCTACACCGCTAGCTCCACTCCCACGCACCCCCCTTAAACCCTAAACCCGAGTCTCCCACACAACCACCCCCCTCAGCGACAGCTGCAGCAGTGGGAGACGAAGGAGGAGGAGGAGCAAAGAGAGGAAGGCACACCGACCACCCCCATACACGCCACCCCACAGCCCCCCTCAGGTCGCCACGACAGACGACGGGAAATGGGGGGGGGGGGGGGGGGGGGGGGGGGGGGGGGGGGGGGGGGGGGGGGGAGGGGGGGGGGGGGGGGGAGGGGGGGGGGGGGGGAGGGGGGGGGGGGGGGGGGGGGGGGGGGGGGGGGGGAGGGGGGGGGGGGGGGGGGGGGGGGGGGGGGGGGGGGGGGGGGGGGGGGGGGGGGGCGCGAAGTGGGGCGGCGGGGCCGCGACGGGTCGGTGGCGTGGCCGCGACGGGTCGGTGGCGGGGCCGCGACCGGAGTTGGCGGGGGCCGCGACCGGAGTTGGAGGGGCCGCGACCGGAGGCGGCTGGGCCGCGATGTGAGGCGGCAGGGCCGCGACCGGAGGTGGCGGGGCCGCGACGGGTCGGTGGCGGGGCCGCGACCGAAGGTGGCGGGGCCGCGACCGGAGGTGGCGGGGCCGCGACCGGAGGTGGCGGGGCCGTGATCGGAGGTGGCGGGGCCGCGAGAGTGGGGCGGCGGGGCCGCGACGGGTCCACGTCGCCCGTCGCAACGCCTCCAGAGCGGGACGCGGCGAACGCCGCGGCAGAAGCCCGCCGCGCGCGTCGCGGCGCACAGCCGGCAGATAACCGCCGCACGCCTCGGGGCGCACGGCGGGCAGAAAAACCGCCGCACGCCTCGGGGCGCACGGCGGGCAGAAAAACCGCCGCGCGCCTCGGGGCGCACGGCGGGAGGAAAAAGTAGCAGCGGAAGCGAGGTGGTAACCCACCCACAGGATCGATCCAAGGGGATCGACCTGCTCTAATAGTATGACAAAATTAGAAGAAAGAAAGAGAGAAAGAGGATTGAACTAGCAGAAATGGGGATAAAAATAGCAAAACCCTAGAAGGGTTGTACTCGCTATAGAGCACCCCACTACAGGCTAGAACATAAGAATAATATTCTGACAGCACGTTATTCAAAGTGCATGTCATTCTAACGTCCTGCCGAGTGCTCGTGCTATTCATGCGTGCATTGTTTGTATGAGCATATGTGATTGTGCATGGCTGTTGGATATTACCATCTCTGTGTTTTTCTCCAAGTCTACATGCTTGATTATGCAGGAGAAATCCAGAGCTTTCCAACAATACCAGGATCGCCTTATTCCGACCAAGATCGCCCAAGGTACAAGATTTCCAAGCTTTGGGAATTCTATCTCACTTTGAGATATTATCTACAGTGGGCGATTATTGGGACATGACTATGAAGGGATCTTTGGTTGGGTGGTTAGGGAAGGCAACTTTGAGTTTTGTATTGGGGTGGCTAGAAGTCTCTTGCATGGGTTGCAAATGTTGCAACACCTACGCAAAATCCAACTAGATTGGATTTTGCATGTGACACCTCAAGGACCTCATGATGAGGGTTGCATCCTTGCTACTAGGAAGGTTTCCTACCATCCTTCCCTAGCTCTTGGAGAACCCCTTCCCTCTCATGGTTCTCTTGGAGGTACCCAACTCCAACTTTCTATGCCTAATGTTTGTACTTCCTCTATCATTCTAGTCATGCAGCTGCTGGACGTTTTTTTACATGGTTCTTACTCTCTAGACCATCTTAACGACTGGTTCAACTTGGAGATGGTAGCTAAGCCTAAGGCGCACAATCTTACTGAGCGGATTTGCGTTAAGTTTAGAAATGAGTTCGTCGTAAGCTCTCAAAGTGACGGGTCCTGAACAGCACACGGGAGACTAAGAACCTGGCGAAGCTCCAAGCCAGGCGGTGGCAGAGACGATGGTGACGGTGGAGCGAAGAACAGACGCGGCGGTGCAGCACCACCAGTACTAGTATTAGCAGCTCCAGCACCTCCAACTCCAAAAACTCCAGCTCCAGTACCTCCAGTAGCTCCAGTAGAACCTCCAGCCCTCGGGTCACCAGCTTCATCGCCAACAGCTCCAGTGCTGAGAGTACCACTCGCATAGCTGCAGCGGCGAGAGAGCTCCTCCAGAACCTACAAGACGAGTACCTCCAGGACTAGCAGCGCCAGCTCCACCAGTAGCGATAGTACCACCAGCTTCGGCAGCTCTAGCACCTCCAAGACGAACACCTCCAGAACTAGTAGTACCTCCAGAATCTCCAATCTCAGCAACTCCAGGCTCTGCACCCGCAGGCTCAGCACCCTCAAGCTCCACACCCGCAGACTCCGCACCCCCAAGCTCCACACGCTCAGGCTCAGCACCCCCAGGCTCCACTCGCTCAAGCTCAGCACCCCCAGGCTCCACCCCTTGAGGCTCCGCACCCCCAGGCTCCACACGCTCAAGCTCAGCACCCCCAGGCTCCACCCGCTCAGGCTCAGAAACCCCAGGCTCCACACCTTCAAACTCAGCACCCGCAGGCTCAGCACCCCCAACAGCCCCAGAATTAATAGTGACCTTGACAGGCTCAACCAAGGGGAGTGGATCTACCTGAGACACGCCTGAAGGAGCAAGACACTGAGGGGTGAGGGCGTCTACCAGAGGGAGACGTGGAGCAAGGAAGAGCGGCGGAGGAGGGGGAGGGGTAGTGCGGTAGGGGACGAGATGGTAAAAGGGAACCAACTCGTAAAACGCAACGTCCTGAGAGGACAGAACATGGCACGAGGTGGGGTGGTAAAACTGCCAGCCATGCGCGTCACGAGGAAATCCAAGGAGGACACAGGGAATGGCACGTGTGGATAGCTTGACCGGGGAAGTATCGCGGACAAAGGAACAAGATCCCCAGACCCGGAACACCGACGCAATCGCCAAACTCTCCCGTCCAACGCGGTGTTGGCGAGGTCTCCGGAAAGGAGACACGAGCCCAGAGGTTGAGCTGATGCGCAGTGTACCGGACCGCAAACGGCCACAAAAAAATGGGGGGCAGCCGCATGGATCATGGAGGTACGAGCGACCTCCATGACTAAGCCGATGCGGCGCTCAGCATACCTATTCTGCTGCGGAGAGGCCGGAAGCGTTAACGACTGGGTGATGCCCTCCTCCTGACACAAGTCCTGCAAGAGGTCGGAGGAGAATTCACAACCTCTTTCAGAGTGCAGACGCAGGACAAGAAGGTCCTGGTGGAACCGCTCGCGGAGCTGGAGACGGACAGCACGGATCCAAGGGATCAGAACATCAGGGGACCTCCTCCTTGCTTTGCAAGGGGAAGACTGTGGTGTAACGCGAGTAGTCGTCAACAACCAGCAGAAAGTATCGCTCACGGCCCTGTCCACTGACGCGGGCTGGGCCCCACACGTCCATGTGGAGAGTCTACAGGGGAGCCTCTGTCGGAGGGAAACGATGAGGAGTTAGGAGAGGCGCGCTGCCGCCCCTCGACGCAGGGAAGACAAGGCGGGGCAGGCGAGTGCGGGAGGGGGGGGCAGAGACCTGGGAAGACCAGAGACAAGGAGACGGGAGTGCATGCCACGAAGGCGTGGTAGGGAGGGGTGACCAAGGGCGGGGGTGCCACAGGAGAGTCTGGTGCAAGAGGTGGGGGCACAAGCAAGGGGCGGCTACCTGACTCGACGCGGACACTTGACCAGACGCAGCTACCTTAGGAGACTCAGTAGTCAGTGTGTATAGACTCGACCCAGGCCGACGGGTCAACGTGGCCAGGTGACGGCCAGTCAGAGAGCACATACAGATCGCCACACGCTTCCCTCCAGGTGTAAAGGTATCAACCCATGCATCCTGGAGGACGGTGTTGCTCACCAAGTTCATCAAGAACAAGGGGAGGTGAAGACCTGACAGCGAGCCAGATGGAACTGTCGGACTTGGGAGATCATTGGTGGAACGAGCAAGAACTGGGCCCCCTAAGGGGTCAGCCAGAGAGACTGCAACAGGTGCAGGGAGTGGCGTGGCTGTGGTACTATCGAGAAAGAAGCAGCAAGAAGCACCTGAGTCAAGCGTAAAAGTGTGCAAGGCCTCAGTAGGCGCAAAACCAGAGAGAGCAGACTTACTAGCACCTAGAGCAGCAGCCTCTATACCAGGGTTGGGGCGGCACACACAGGTAACAGTCACCCTCAGCACTAACAAACAATGCATACATGGCAGCAAGAACAGCATCATATTCAAGAGCAAAGATATCTACATCGCGCTTAAGCAAGTCTGCCCAGCGGGGGAGCTCAGGTGCATCAGGAAATTGTGTGCGCCAGGCATCATCAAGACGAGAGAAGCAGCAGTACTCGGTGTGAAACCTCCCGCATGGCTGACCTGTGCGGGGACCTGTGCAAATGACATACGGGCAGCGGACAGCACCCCCAGATGCCCCACGGTGAGCATACTAGTCATGAAGCTGCTGGGGTGTAAGGGTCTAACGTGAACGCTGCTGTCGTTGCCTCTGGCCACCACCAGAGCCTCCCCTCTGAAAGGCTCCACTTCGACTCCCACCACTGCCGCCGCCACCGCTCCCACTGCCACCACCATCACCGCTGCCGCCTCCACCACCACTGCTCCCACTGCCGCCGCCTCCGCCGCCTCCACTCCCACTACTACCGCTACCGCCGCCACCGAAGCCTCCACTCCCCGCCACGACTCCCACCGCCCCCCCCCCCCCCCCCCCCCCCCCCCCCCCCCACCCCCCCCCCACCCCCCCCCCCCACCCCACCCACCAACACCATCACACTCCTGCCTCCCGTACCCTTACCGCTAGGGGCGCTTCCCACTAGGAGCAGAAGCAACCCCGACCTCCTCAGCACCAAAGAAGTCAACAGCAGCAGCAGAAGCGTAGGAGGGGGCAAGGGGGGAGGAGGAACACCCATCAAAGAGGGGAGTGCGAGGAGTGCCATGAGCAGCACCTACTCTGCGAACAATGCTCTTCTCTGCTGCAAGGAGGTGCTTCTCAAAGTCGTCGACAATGAGGGCGGTAGGGTCGAGCGCTAGCAAGTGGTCCCTGGCTGTACAAAGTGAGTCACGGAGGTGGTGACTAGGAAGTAGAGCGTGATGTACAGCGGGGGCAGATTCGCGGCTAAGAACTCGTCTGAGAGAGCGGCACGGTAGTGAATGTCACTAGCGCGAAGGTGGGAGATGAGGTCCTCAACTGTGGAAAAGGAGGACAGCTCTTGGAATAGGTAGGGCATGAATAAGGCGGCTCAGAGTAGCAGTGGCAGGTGAAGAGTAGCGAGCGACTACAGCTGTGTATGTCCTGTGCTGGCCGAAGTGAGCATGTTCAGCTAACGGTTGCGAATAGCTAGGCGAGCAGCTGCGTCACGGGTCTGCCACTGTGAGCGAGAGAGACTGTCAGCAGTGTCAGGAAGGGCAAGTGAGAGCCAAGATGCGTGATCAAACAGAGAAACGCCGTCCTTAGCATCGGTCATTAGGTACAGTTGGAGGTCATCGAACCATGTGGCATACTCTATCGGGCGGCCGTCAGGGTCGAACTTAAGGGACATTTAGTGTAGCCATGACTGCAGCGCTGGGCATAGGCAGGCACAACGGCACATAAGCAGCAGAGGCGGCGCGCGGGGCGGCAAAGGCGGTGCACGGGCGAGCAAATTCGACGCGTGGTGGGGCAAAGGCGGCACGCAGGCCGGCAGTGGCAGGGCACGGGCAGGCACAGACGGCGCGCGGGCTAGCAAGAGAGCTACGCGGGTGGCAAATGCAGCGCGCGGGCCGGCAGGGGTTGCGCGTGGGCGACAAAAGGCGGCGCGCGGGCCGCTTAGGCTGTAGGTGAGCGGCGCACGGGCCGGCAGGGGCCGCGTGTGAGCAGGCAAGGCGGCGCGCGAGCGGCAAGGTCAGCACACGGGCCTGCACGCGCAGCGCGTGGGCAGGCAGACGTAGGGTGCGGGCCGCATGGGCTGCAGACAAGCAACGCGCGAGCTGCAGATACGCGACGCGTGGGCTGCAAGCAGGCGACGCGCGGGCAAATGCAGGGCGCGGGCTGTGCGGGCTGCAAGCGGCATCGCACAGGCTGCAGGTAGCGGCACAGGGCAGGGCAGGGCGCGCGCAAGCAGCGGGACGCAGAGCAGGGCGTGAGGTAGCACGGTAACCACAGTGGATGGTGGGCTTGGAGGAAAAAAAGATGGTCCTACGGACCTACTGCTCCGTATACCATGTTAGAAACTATTAGGCAAGAATG